GACTTTCCTTATTCGAACAACCCAACTTCCAAAGGGAATAACTCACTCATACGAACTCGGATTTGTGCAAACTCGGCGGCGTTGGAAAGATCCTTCCAAGAGCTTTGCAACCATATATGGAAGTACACCTAAATCATCATGTGCTAGGAATTATTGTCATTTGAAGTTGACCAAAACTCCACTTTTCCTAACTTAAACAAATTTCCAGATTTTAATTCTTTCCAAAAATGACTATTTCCAATTATAAGCTTCTTCCTAGTTATTTCAAATTGCGAGATGTTACAATGCGGATAGGAGAGATAAAAAAGATTTTGTATAAAATTTTATAGAAAAGCAACGTCTTTGTTGATTCAGTATACAAAGAGGTGGTGGGTCCTAGTAATTATGGCAAAAGTTTGAAACTATATTTACTGACGGTGAATAAATCAAACTATACCCTTATTAACTAATAACTAAGAGATGTTTGCCATCTCATGTAATTTTTCCTATAAAATAAATAGCTACAGTTTATTTATTTTTTATGTTATATGGATATAATTACACAATAAATAGCAAAGTTAATTATATATAAATAAATAGGAAGTTATTAAATATTAAATAGAAAAGTTATTATTACACACATAATTAATTATGTCTAGGCACGTTTTATGTGATTGGTCCCTATATCTACCCTCATTAATACTTTCTCTTTCATCAATATCGCTTTATCACAAATTTTCTATATTTCCCCCACAAATTCCTTCCAATTTAAAATTCTTTTACACAACTCTAGAATCAATTTTTGTGATTTGAATTCATCATCTTCTCCGATGACCTTTCATTTCTCCGATGGTTGTTTAGAGCTTGTCTTTTTTATTTTATTTTGTCTCTGCAGTCTTGTTACGTTTGGTTCTTCTTCTTCTTCTTTTTTTTTTTTACTTGGGCTTAAACCAAGTCTGTATCATTTCCTTTTGTTTAATAAAATGGACCATTGGTCCTGTCTTTGAGGGGGGGGGATATCTTCTAATTGAATTCTTTCCTCTTTTTTATGAAAATTATATTTGTATACATCTATATTTTCATCTATTTTTATAAGGTTTCAATTGAAGAATTATTTGTTTCTCCACTATAATGGTTATAGTTATAAAAAAAATACAAGAAGAACACGAGCAAAAAGAGATTGAGGTTTGTGTGATTGTCAAATTTGAATATAGTAGAATACTTATATACATATATATTTGTATTGTAATATTAACACAAATTGAAATGGTGATTCGTGAATACAAGTATATCTGGATACATAAGTAATCTATCCAAATTGAAAGGTTGATTAGGCAATACAAGTATAGTTGGATACAATAATACTATATTTTACAAACAAATACCCGAGTTAACACCAAACCTCAAAATTTGACCAAAAAGAGATTGATGTTTGTTGGTTTTTTCCAGCTTTATACAGTCGCATACCTACACACTTTGATACCTACACATTCTATTATTTTTCATTTTTCTTCTTTTTGGCTTGTCCAATGTATCCATCTTTTGTTTAACAACAATGTATTCATATGTATGCTATGTTGGTGTATTCATTTTTGTTTAACAATAGTGTATCCATTTTTCAAATTGTCGTGGTCATATACTAAATTGTTATACTTTACCTTGTTCATTATATTAATACAGTAAGTTTTTATAAATACTTGTATCCTTGATATATTAATACTTTAAGTTTTATAAATAAATATACCAATTTGAATTCAAAATATTCATATGCTAACGAAACAATTAACACATTTTCCTTATTTAGTTCATTATAATTAAAATTGTATGAGTGTATATATAGAAAAATAAAAATCATATACAAAACTACAGCTAGAAAAAGACATAAATTGATGTCCTTTTTTTATAAATAACATACTTATAGCTATTGAACTTTAATAACCCTATAAATGTAGTCATTTTTGTAAGTTACTCTTTAAAATATTATAAAATATCTAAATAAGTTAATATTAATTAATCAAAATGTTTTTACAACGTTTTCACCTCCTAACTTAATTGCAAGCTAAAGAATTATAAAGTGACCATATTCATTAGTAAGTAACAAAGTGACAGATTAATAATCTATCTATATATAATAGGAGAAGAAAAGAATGTCACGTGTCAACACCATAAAAAATAGACTTTTTAAATCTATCTATATATAATAGGAGAAGAAAAGAATACCACATGTCAGCACCGCAAAAAATAGACTTTTTAAATAATTAAAATGAATTATTTTTTTAAAAATCTACATATAAAGCAGTTTTTGTTTATCAGGTTTCTTTTAACAGACAATTAAATTTTTACAATTTTTAAAACAATTGGATAATGATGTAAACTTTCAAGCAGTTACTTTTACCGTTTTTAACTCTGATAGATAATGAATCACAGTTCAGGAATTAATACTCATTTGAGAAGTCAAGATACACTTCAAATATTCACTCTTCCGTACATGCATTGTATTGTCAATATGCATATCTTTTTTTCTGTTTCTTTTTTGGAATTTGTTGTATACAGTATGGAATTTTAATCCGAGACATCTACTCAACAAGTTATACTACTGGATTAATATGTAATAATGTGTTTAAGTCTTTTAAATTATATGGATTGTTTCTCTAAAAATAGTTATTTATTGTATATTTATAATTCAAATTCAAATAGGTGAGTATCAATATTTTTTCAAATATATACGTTTTCCGGCAAATTATGATGAACTTATCAATAATAGGCAATGGAGGTTGAAAGTTGGAATTGTACAAAGTCGTGTTATATATATTAGGATAGAAGAACTAAATAAAAAGATATGACTCAATTTTAATTATTATTATTATAGACATACTTTAAAAATGAAGGAACAATAGAAAAAACAATATTGTTAATTACCTTGCTTTTGAAGTGAATCTAATAAATAAATCATATGTGATAAAATGTAAATTGTAATTGTATATAATTAGCTGGATCAGTTAGTCTGTTAGATAGTTAGTTACAGGAGTAATTAAACACTGTTAGCTAGGGACTGTGTATAAATAGTGCATTGTTGATAATGAAAAGTTCAAGTCGGTTATTTTCAGTTTACACTGTTACTCTCAATTTCTCTTCTTCTCTTCTTCCTCATTTCAATATCTCCAATAGCTAGAGGATTAGCTTTCAACATGGTATCAGAGCAG